CAACATAATTCAGAAAGAGATTTATTTCGAAACAAAATACTTTTGATAGTGATACCACTGATGGATGACGATGACGGGTCGATGCGATGAAATCAAAAAGAAACAAAAACTAACGAGTGAAATGCTCATGAAGTATATCGTCTGCGTCTGGTTCGTCAGCCGGCAAACCGGCCAGCATGTCACTCAGTTCACGACCATCAAAACCAAGTTCTTTTGCCACTGATGCCAGCGAAACATCCGTTTCCACACCTTCACAGTAATCAACAAATGTAAATTTTCATCACCAAAAGAAAACAACAGTAATAATCGCAACAAAACAATTCATCATTGAGAGCATTTCTCAGAAATGGATAAAGCACAATACCAAACATAAACGAAAGAAAACAAAAACATGAAATGACGAAAACTGAGGTGAAATAGTATCAAATCATAATCAGCTCCACCTTCAGTTTCATTGAAATCCGTTATCTGATTTGTTGCGACCGTTTCATGCGTTGCTGCTGGCCTTTGGATGTTCATCAGATTCGGGGTACCCACCACCAAATCATTACTGTTAACAGCACCAGCCTGACCATATGACACTCCATTCATCGAATGATTGTTAAGCGCATTCGGATCAGCCGCTCTTTGAAGTGGAGTGTATGGCGGTGGAGGTGCTACCAGTGGTGAAGGCATCGATGGATCAGAAGACTGTGACGGTTGTTGTTGTTGTTGTTGTTGCTGTGGAATGTAACCCATTTGATGCATACCACTAGAATTCGGCCTTGACGTCGACGACTGAGGCATATTTGAAGTATGGTTGGCAGATGAAGCAGCAGCAACAGCACCTTGACAATTACAATCCATTGAATCAGCAGCATCTTTTCTCACATTACCGTTTGCACCTTCTTTTTGCGAAAGCTCATAGTGATAAAGACATAAACCTGTAACAGAACATTCCATCAAATGAATTCAAATAAGTGCAAATAAACAAATACATCCAGATCATACATTAACAACTGAATAATACATCAACTGAATGACCTATAATAAACTTCCTCCAAAACTGTTTCATAGCAAAACTTTAATGTTGAACTATAAGATTCACTAACAATCAAACAACTATTGTTCAACAAGTTTCGAAAGTTATTGAATGGAACAAAACGCCGATTGAAAACTCGAACAAGCATGAACCTGAGGTGAGTGGCGAATCAACACAAGAGACCGGCTGGCCGCAACAAGATTCCGAACAATACGAGAAGAGTTTCTGATTGATATTGTAGAGGACGTGTTGAGGACAGTGATTGCTCAGCGGTAAACAAATTTCTGTACATTGCACTGTCTCACCACAAGCATTCGTTAGAACGTGTGTGCATCTGAACAGAACAACTATTAGAGTGTTCACATCATTTCCATGAATGCATTCAACAGATCAAAATTTGATAAAAGTTCAGTAATCTCAAAACGAATGTCACAAAATTCGAAANAGGAGAGTCACGAACCTGAGTTGTTTCTTCAAGAGGTAAACTTCGAGAGCACCACCCGAGCAAATGCCATTCTCCGAACGCCTTTCCATTGGCGTCGGCCATTTCTGCATAATATCACAATCAGACTCACTGCTCTCGTCATCGGACGGTTCCAGTCCTGAAATGTGAATATATACGACGCATTAATTTATGCACAGATGACAAGAGCAACTTCGAATAGCATCAAACAACCGACAATTCTATACCTCTGAAAATGTTCAAATGAATGGATTATTTATCAATCATGAAGAAATCGAAGAAATACCAAGTGGAAAGAGATCAGTTCGGTCGAAGTCCGCATCTTCGAGTACCTTACACATCTGATCAACCGAAGCAATCTTACGATACGTACCGATCATCTTCATACGCTGGCGTTTTTGTTTCAGACGAATTACCTGAACAACAAGTTTTAAGGCAATACAATTACAACTCGCTCATCGACTACAACTGCAGAAATCGACCAGATCGTTCCGCCATCCTGATAATGATAACAGTTTCGCACATAAACGAGTAAATAACCAACTGGAAGACATCGAATCCTCCATATGGCCAGTGAAAAATAAACGCTGACAGATTCCATACAAAGTCAGGTTTTAAATCAATCAAACTTTGCATCAATCAAATAAAAACAATTAGGCAAGAATGAACACCTTCTTCTTCGGTGGTTGCGGAGAACGAATCTGTGGAATGCGCTCATCGTCACCATACTCCAAGTCATCACCAGTGAGCTGCTCATCCAAATCGATGTCCAACTCATCCAATGAGTAGTGTTTCAGCGCACCAACCGATGGTGGTCTTTGCAAGAGCAACGGTGCTGACCAAGGCAGAATCGCATTTTGCGATGGACCAGTGGGTACTTGAGACGGCGCCTGAACTGATTGAGTGGCACACTGTTGTTGAGAGGACGAAGAAGGCGCCGACGATGAACACGATCCGGAGTTTAACATTGCTGCTGAATAAGATCCGGATGCCTTCACATGAGGTGTTGTTGGTTGTTGTGTGAATGTTGTATGGGGTTGTGAAGACGTTGAACAATTGGTCAGCACCGAGCTACTTCGCACATAATCCGACGACCGTCCAATCAAATTACCCAATGACGTTCCGGCTCCCATCGTCAACGGTGCTCCGCTCTGTCCAGCAGGCGATGGTACACCGATAACCGCCATCTGAGGAGCAACACCACAGACGGCTGTTTGCTGAGGTGCTGGTGGTGGCGCTAATCGATTTGATGCCCCACCAACAGCAGTAATCGGAACTGGCCCGGCACCGATCGGAATCCCAGCAGCTGCCGAATTCGGCGGTTGTGCTTCCATTGGCATCTGCGCTCCTGCGTTCATAATTTCAATTTGTTGCTGGTGTTGTTGTTGCTGTTGAAGATACGGTGACTGTTGCGGTGGTGCTACTGAACACACTGGAGGTGCACTGGACGGAATCGGTGGCAAAGGCATCGACGAAACCGTATAGGCGCTCGATGAAGATGGCGTAGATGGAGTCTGGAAAAAAAATAAATTAATTAAAAGATGAACTTTTGAAAATGGACAATAACAACACTACCACCACAACAAAAACGATTTAAGGCATAA